GTCCTCAGCAGGTCTCTCAGAGAGGTCCCGAAGCAGGCCTCTCAGACCTCCGAAGCAGACCTTTGAGCAGGTTCCTAAGCAGAAGCAGACGCAGGCCTCTGAGCAGGCTCCTGAGCAGGCGTCTAAGCAGGCTCCCAGGCAGGCCTCTTAGCACGCCTCGACGCAAGGGTTTCAGTCTCTCTGAAATTTCTGAGCTCCTCCATACTTCACTTCAGGTTTTTCTCAGGCGTTTTCTCAGCAGGTTTTCTCAGGTTTTTCATGTTTCTCAGTTTCTCAGGTTTCTTAGTGCTCTTTTAGATGCAGTAAAGGAACACCTTTAGGACTCTTAAGGAATTCTTGCGAATCTTTTGGAATTTTCAGATTCATGAGGAATCCTTTGGGTTCCTAAGAAATATTCAGGAATCCCTGGACATCCTTTGAATCTTTGATGAATCCTGACGAATCTATGTGAATCCTTAGGAATCCTTGAGAATCCTGCGGAACTTGTATGAAACCTGATGGATCCATTCAATTCGTTAGGAGTCATCAAATATGCTTGCGAATCTTAATACTGTTATCATTGCATGAATTTTCCAAGCAGCAAGCGACATCCTGAGTCTTTCATGAGAGCCACGCAGATTTGAATTTCGAATTTCGATTGTGGCCCAGGGCCAGGCCTCCGCGAATTTGTTTTGTGTCCGGGTGCTAAACCTATCGTTCGGTTATTTCGGCCCCTCGGAATATCGAATGAAAATGCGGTGCTAAGATATCGCCGGGGGGGTTCTTAAATGCTTCCTCGGGTTAGGGAAGAGGAGGCACACCCGAGGCTCGATCAGCACGCCTCTGGAGCTGGCCAACTCGTGCCTGTGGCGCGTAGTGGAGTACCCCACGGCTCATGCAGCTCTGCAAGGAAGTCTGGTCGACCCAAAAGGGGTTCAGCTGAAAGGGGGTGGTGCAATAGATTTTGGGCAAATGCATTGTTATCGTATTGCGCCGGGGAATTGTATCACATTGTATTGCAAGTAGTGCTTTGCACGCGAAAAATCCAGCAATACATTTGCGCCCTGGAATGTATGGCGCGCCCCGGGTCTATTGCAACCCCATAGATCTGTGGCAACAAATCTATGGCACCACCCCCGTGTCGCTGGACCCCCCGTTGGGTCCACCCCCGAAGTAGAGGGCTTGTGGTCATCAAGGGCTCGGAGGGGCCCAGACCCCCGGTTCCCCAGGAGGTCCCGGCAGCTACTGCGCCCCCTTGGGGTGTGTCGCCTGAGCTCTCAGGAAGGACGCCGAGAGAGCCCCACGACGGGCCAAGAGGACCCTAAGGGACCCCAGAGACGGCCGAAGAGCGTCCCGAGTCGTCCAACGATCGGTCCAAGACGCCCAAGATGGGCGCCTGACGGCCGAAGGTGCCCCCAGGAAGCCCCCAGGGGGCCTCCAAGAGGCCTCCCCAGAGGGCCAACCATTGATATGTAAACGCTTTTGAAAGAGTTGGGCGTACTGATATGCATGCATGTATTCATCATTGCGCGAACCTAGAAGTCGCCAGAGATGTCCCAGAGCCAGGCGGGAATTATCCCGCCAGGCCGCTGGGCGACAGGCGGTCTAACGATGTCATTCCTTCCTCTTCCACAACCCCTTCTTCCCCTTCGGGGAAGGGTTTATCACCGTTCCCTATTAATGCCCCCACCCAGCCGGCAGCCAAGGCGGAACCATGATAACCCCATGGCCCACCCCCCCACCATCCCTTTTTAAAAGACAATGCAACGCGCACTCTGCCTCCACATTTAGAGCATGCGCGGCCGCCCCGCGACCATTTTGTATGGATACTTCACAGGGACGGCTGGGCCGCCAGCAGATCCCACCTCCCTTCTGGGCGCAGGTGGTCGACCGACTTGTTTGACATCAATGGCTGTTACCTTTTGGCCGGCGGCGGCGGCGGCGGATTGGCCCCCAGTAGCTGGCTATCCAAAGACGACTGCTGCATATGCTGAGGCTCGGGCCAGGCTCGGGTGCTACGCATGTGTTGGGAGGGCGGGTGGGAGTGAGCGGGACGGCTTGCGGGCGGGGAGGGAGACTCTTGACCCCTCCCCCTACCCCCTCCCCTGGACCTGGACGGGGGGTTGCGCGAGCGGTCAGAGGGTCCTGTTTGGCCCAAGATGGCTCCGAGAGGGCCTCAGAGAGCCCAAGATGGCATCCAGAATCTCAAGATGGCCCAAGATTGCTCAAGATAGCTAACAACATGCCTCTAAGAGGCATTTCAAAAAGCCACAAGACGGATCGAAGTGCTTTTGGAGACCCGTCGGGACCTCCCCGAGAAGCCAACATCCTTCAAAAGCCAATGGAAACAAATGATTTGGGCCTTCTAGCCTTTTCGCTTCCGATGCGCCTTTGAGGCCTCCAGATGGCCCCAAAATGGCCCAAGAGAGCTTCAAGAAAGGCACAAGAGGTCCCCAAGACAGCTCCAAGAGCGCCCAAGATCGCCCCCAGAGGTCCGGACGGGGAAGGCAAACTTAGGACCCCCCCTCCTTTGATCGATGGCCTCCAAGATGGCCTCAGGAGGCCCTCCGAAGCTCCCAGGAGAGCGCCAAGAGACCCCCAAGAGGGCCCCAAGAGGGGCCCCAAGAGGGCCCCAAGACGCCCCAAAAGAGCCCCAAGTGGGCCCCAAGACCACCCAAAGAGCCCCAAGAGGGCCCCAAGATGGCCGAAAGAGACCCAAAAGGACGCAAAGACGCCCCCCTAAGCGCCATAGCTCCAAGAAGGCCTCCGATGCTCCAAGATAGCCTCCAACATGGCTCAACACGTTCCTCCCCCTCCTCTCTTTGACCGCTCTGTTTCACTATACGTGTCTCTGCTTGCCATTTCCCGTCAGCTCTCGTGGGCAGGGCTTCTGAATGGGCTGGCGGGGACTCGCGAAGCGCAAAGACTTGCGCAGTCTCATCTTGAGAGCTCCTTTGCTTCGTCGTGCCCCCCCTCCCCGGGAGAAGGAGAACCGAGGGACCAGCCGCCGGCCCCCGTCCCCGCGAAGAGCTGGCACACAACTCTTGATCTTGCCCCCCGAACCAGGGCCCGCTCCCGGCGCTCACCCGCACGCGCAGCAGCGCCTGATTCCTGCACGCACGGGGCGGCACGAGCCGGAACCGGAGCCGACTTCCCGAGGCGCGGTACTCCGTAGCACTTCGGTCTCACCCCCAGCCTTCGGCCTCGACCATGACAGCGAGATCACAGCGGCTCGGACTGGGAAGCTGGGCTCGGTGTCGTGTCGTGCCGAACGTGCGGAAGTGAAGCCGCGGCTGTGGGCGACGAGGTGTCGACCACAGCTGGCGCCAAGTCGGAAAAAAATGGCTCTGCCGTCCGTTTCGCTATTTTCCGTGGGTTGTCCCATGGTTGTCCCGTTGTCCCGTGGTTGTCCCCTGGGTTGTCCCGTGGGTTGCTCAAACTGATATGCAGACCTAAATGCAAATCCAAGCGCAAACGGCATGCCGATAGAACTGAGCATCGAGATATCAATCCAAATGCAATCGACATTCAAATCGACACGCACATCGTAATGAGAATCGGACTCATCATCGAAATGGCCTCGAACTACCTTTTCCGTCGCGGCGCGGCTGAGGCGATCCGCTCGTGCCTCGAGCAACCAGGCATTGAACTACATTTCAGAATGCAAAAACTACATGCAAGTCGAAATGCAAATCGAAATGCACATACGAATGCAAGTGAGCATGCAAGTTCCTCAAATATACTCACTCCCGCCTCACACCTACTTACCGCCCAAACGGGGTTTGTATGCAATATGGTTATAAGCACGAGTACGCAGAAACTGAAGCGATCCGCCTGTCAACATTACCTTCGAGACCCACGTGTCAACCCAGCATCATCAAGCTGTAAACCTCCAGTTCTCGTCACTTCATCTTCAGGCTTGCATGCCTAAGCGACGAATGAATTACCGTATTTTTCGCCTGCGGCTTTTGTTGCCCCATGTGCGTACTCTGGACATCAGCTGCTTGAGCCCCTCTTGCTCAAATGACAGCCACCTTTCTTTGCCTCTGGGCAAATATGGGTACTTCGGGCAAGAACCTAATACCGACACTCCCGACGTCATGACTCTTTCATTAACGTCGGCCCCCGAAATCTCGACCCGTTCCCCGGGACCGGCTGCACGTCCTGAACCTTTTTGTTAACGGTCCCGAGGCCCGGCAAGGGCCCCCAGAGGCCAAGATTAGCGAAACACCTTCCTAGTGTTAGGTCGGGCGTATCCCCCTACAGGCGGATTTTGGAGGAAAAATGTAGAATAGTCAAAATGCGTTCAAAAAGCAAAGAATATCAAACAAATCGTCCCCAGACTATTTTTATAATATTTGGAATCTACTTCCTCCGACTTAATCCCAGTGGGAAAAAAAACGGCAGAAACATACACTTTTGGCGATCCGCGCGGATTTCTTGGACCTGCGCTGGCGCGGAGCGCGCCAGGGGCGGCGCCGGAGGCGCCGCCGGCGGGGGCCCAGCGCGCATCCAAGAAACCCGCGCGGAGCGCCAGACATTGCTATGCATGCCAATTTTTTCGCTGTCGAACCTTCTGGCCTGGTTTCTTCATGGGTCGGGCGAAAGGGGGGGACTGAGAATCAGCTCACGAAGCTGATTTTCCCGGCGCCTCCCGGCGCCGTAGGCGGCTATGTATCGAGGACTGGGCCCCTCGGTGAGGCCGAAACCAGCTGCATGCAGCAAATTTCGTACCCCCCCCCCCCCTTTCCCAATCCCCCCCTTTCGCCTTTCGCCCGGCCCGACCAGAGTACGAAGCCACCCGGGAGGAATCGATCCCTGGGCGCACGCCCCCGGCCGACCCACGAGGGCCGAGAGCCGGGGCGCCAGACGCCCGCAGGCTGTGAATAGGTCCGCGGAGCGGGGCGCCGGCTCGAGGCGCGGAGCCCGCGCCGGCTCGGAGGACTCGAGTTTTTGCGTCGGCGAGGAGGAGGAGGCGGATCTTCATGACTCCGAGGGGGTCCGGATGGTGCGCCCGCCACCGACGCCGGGACGTTGTAGTGGTCGTCGGTCTTCGCCCCCTTCAGCTCGTCCGGCCTCGCCACGGTCACGACGGCGCGGCGCTGCACGCGCGAGAAGAAGGTCCTGGACGGCGGGCGCGCGGAGGCGGAGGAGGGGACCGGGAGTTGGAGGAGGAGGAGGAGGAGGAGGAGGAGGAGGAGGAGGAGGAGGAGGAGGAGGAGGAGGAGGAGGAGGAGGAGAGGAGGGAGGAGGAAAGGAGGGAGAGGGAGGAGGAGAAAGAGGAGGAGGAGGAGGAGGAAGCAGGCGGAGGAGGAGGAGGAGGAGGAGGCGGAGGCGGAGGCGGAGGCGGAGGACCCCAGGATCGGGTGTTGCCAGAAGTGCCCCTGGCCCAAGGTGCCCCCAGCCCGTCGCTCCATTCTGGAGCCCCTGGGGCCCTCTCGGCCTCGTGAGGGGTGCTCTGGAGGGCGCGGGGGCCTCCCTGGAGATCCTGGCAACTTGGGCAAGAGGAACTTCTAACAACATCCGACAGGAGGGCCGACGAGCCTATGTAGGACCAGAGCGAGAGGCGCCGGGGGGGCCTATAGCTGGGGTTGCCTGGAGAGGACACGCAAGAGGACACAAGACCCTCCTGAGGGCGACACCGCCATAGGAGCGTGGAAGGCACGGGTCGCGAACGCACAGGACACAAGGGACCCTCGATTTGGCAGGGTCGACCTACTAGCCAGCCTCGACTATACCAGCAAGGGTGGAAACACACAGGGGTGGATTCAACTGCGGCAAATCTGGAACACACGCGCTGGATACACTTGTGGGGGTCCGATAAATGATTATCGTGACACGCGCCATTTTCCGCACACTGGGGGGGAAGAGGCCCCTGAGCGTTGGCGGGACGACTCTGCTGCATTACCAATCCGTTGGCCAATGGCTGCTAAGCAGAATTTGTGGCGCAAACGTCGGCCAATGCTTTGACGTCTTGACGCAATGTAGCGCGGATAAAACAAAACGTCACCGTTTGCCTGCTCAGCCCAGCCAGTGGTCATGAACAGCGCCTCGACCCGCGGTTTCGAGGGGCGTTCCAAAACGGCCCGCACACATAACAACCTTCACGCCGATGCGCCGTGCTGGTATTGAGCCCCGCAGCCCCCCGTTCCCCCACCGCCAAAGTGCAGATGATCCCGGATGCCCTGTCCACGTGCACTCCGCTCCTCCCGTGTCCAAGCTGCTTCTGCGTGTGCTGCGATCCTACTGGTTGGCAGGACGCACGAGGAGGAGGAGGAGGAGGAGGAGGAGGAGGAGGAGGAGGATGAGGAGGATGAGGGGGAGGAGGAGGAGGAGGAGAAGGAGGAGGAGGAGGAGGAGAGGACCGTTGGCGCATGCCTAGCCCTCGGCAGCCCGCCGCTCTGCGTCCGAGCGGCGGCTCGCCGCCTCGGCGACTGCCAGGCCAGACGACGGCAGCTGGCGGACAGGGAGATTATGATGTTCATGCTGACGATGGTGGCGATGACGCTGATGGCGATGGCGAACATGCTGACGATGATGATGATGATAATGATGGTGACGACAATGACGATGATGATGATGATGCTGATGGTGGCGATTGTGATGACGATGGTGACAACGGTGATGGTGATGATGGTGATGATGATGGTGATGATGATGATCATGATGATGCTTGTGCCGATGACGATTCTGGTGGCGATGATGATACTGATGATGATGGTGATGATGAAGGTGAGTGACTGAGACGGCGGTAATGATGATGGTGATGATGATGGCAATGATGAGTGCAGTGGTGATGCTTATGATGATGACGATGATGATCGTGACGATGGCAATGGTGATGACGATGATGACGATACTGACGATGACGATGATGACGATGGCGATGCCGATGATGATGCTGTCATTGGTGATGATGACGGTGATGATGACGATGATGATGAGGCTAATGATGAGGACGATGGTGGTTGTGAAGATGACGATGATGATAGTTATGAAGATGACGATGTTGATGATGATGATGCGGATGATGATGATGCTGATGATGACGATGCAGATTATGCTGTTGTTGGTGATGATGACGATGATGATGAGGATGACGATGTTTATGATGATGCTGCTGCTGATGATGATGATGATGATGGTGATGCTGATGCTGCTGATGATGAGGATGATGATGGTGATGATGATGATGATGATGATGATGATGCTGCTGATGATGATGATATGATGGCGGTGATGATGATGACGATGACGATGACGATGACGATGACGATGATGATGATGATGATGATGATGATGATGATGATGATGATGGTGGTGATGATGATGATGATGATGATGATGATGATGATGATGATGATGATGATGATGATGATGATGATGATGATGATGATGATGATGACGATGATTGGGGTCAAATTGGCAGACGTTGGGAGCAAGGCTCGCCTACCGTGGTGGTCCAAAATTCACGCACGTCCCAGACGGGGGCTCGACGCCCCCACAGGGCCCAAAGTGGCGCCCCAGGGCCCACGCGGGCCCAGGCCGGCGCCGCCCAGAGTTCCGAGCCGAACCCAGCCGACGAGGAAGGGCGCCCAAGGGCGGGCCGCCCATGCGACACGGGCCACGGTCCCAGGTCGCGAGCGGCTGGCACGGGGGCGGCGCGCCAGAAGCGGCCGCGTCCTCGCCTCCCGTGCCGCCCTCCGCAGCCGCCTCGGCGTCTGCCTGTGCCGTCAGGACTGCTGCGGCCATCACCCCCGCAGCGGCTGCGGCCCTGGCTGCGCTCGCGGCTCTCCTCTGCCGCCGTGGGCGCCAGAGCTGTGCGCCGTCTGCGGTCGGGCGGCTCCCGTCCGACAGGCTCGGCCCCGCCCGCTGGCCGTCCGCACCTCCGACCGCGGAGCCGCTGCCCTGGCAAGGTGGTGGCCCGCCTGCCGGGCCTGCGTCACAGTCGGGCTCGATGCCGCCGTCGGCGGCGACAAGCCGGGAGGCGACGGCCTCGGCCGTGCTGCGGCGCGCGCTGGTGTGGCCGTCCTCCGCGGCGGTCTGCGCCCTGGGCGGCTGCCAGGGGGGCCCCACATCTCGTTGTCCTCGTGTTCGTTGTTCCCCCTTCTCGGCCTCGAGCCACCTGGGCCGAGGCTGGCAGCTGGCCTCGACCTCGCACCTGGGCCGCAGCCGCGCCCTGGATGGTCTGGGTGTCGCCCCGCTGAAGAAGGCCTTCGCCGTCAGCGCGTCCGACAGCAGCTGCTCCACATCGTCCTCCAGCTCTCGGCACACAAGGTATGATGATACCCGGCGCAGGACCCATGCTCCAAGGCTTCCTCAACGACTTGAGCTAGAGGACGCAAGAACGACTGAGCAGCGCCACAGAGGATGAGGTGAACAATTCGCGGTGTGCCCGGCGACAATATGCTAAGGCACGTGCCCCACCCATTGGCAAAAAGCAAGTGGTGGCGCTGGGAAGGCGTGGGCAGTGCTGGACTTGGAAAAGCAGAAATCAGGTAATTCAAAACGAAGCCAGGATGAAGATACATTTGGACGAAGATGAAGCAGGGATCTCTGGCCGTTTCAGAGCGCCCAGAAAGCTCTGACAGCTCTCCAGGACTCTCTGGAGCGATTCATCGTCATCCTGGACATGCCTGATCCGTGCCGAACCTCCGACGTCCCGGTGTTCCACGCGTGGGGTTCTCGAGCTCTCGACCAACTGTTCATCACGTGTGCTCACGCCGTGGGCTGGGGGGGAGAAGAAGTTCCGACACGGTGGGTCTGGAAGGGCCTGGCGGCGAACACCGTCCTCGGGCAGGGCTCTCCCAGGGGCCTGCCAGGGCAAGCGCTACCCCTGCCTCGCGACTGCAGCGCGGGAGCCTGCACCTGCCTCTGTTGAAAAAGGCGTGGCCTTCGGAAAGCAGACCTCCACCAGAGTGGGTGCAGAACCCGATGTCCCTCCCTCCGTGCACTTTTGCTGACGGCCGGTCCCCAACCGGGCCAGCACAGAACATTGAAGACCACATCGTGGGATACTCCTGGTCCCTGTCATGCCCCGCATGCAGTGGCTTGATATCTCTTGTCGATCCTTTTGCAGGTCACGGTCTGGGGCCGCGAAAAGAACAAACCGTCGCGAGCAGAACAGGGCGCTTGATGTCCAGCCACCTGCGGTCCCCATCCTCCAGCTCATCTCCCTCTTCGCCGTTGCCGTCCTCCTCCCCCTCCACTCATAGTCCCTTATAATCCTCCTCCTCCTCCTCCTCCTCATCCTCATCCTCATCATAATCATCATCAACATCAGCATCACCAGCATCATGATCAGCACCATCATCAGCACCATCACCACCATCGCCAGCATCGTCGTCGCCGACGGCAGCAACATCATCATCAGCAACAGCAGCATCACCCCTGCTCGGTATGCTCCTCCCCCTGATCCCCATCATCATGACAATCACAACAACTATACTTGTTTCCGTTAACAAGTATACGAATAGTAATGCGTGTACCAACACTACCAGTCATAAGAATCATGGTGAAATAATGCTTAAACACATCAAGCATCATAAACATCATCATCAACATCATCATCGTAATCAACATGATCATCTTCATCATCAACATCATCTATCATTCCGCTCCTTCTGCTCCTCCACCTCCTCATCAACATCATCAGCATCATCATAGTGACCGTATCAACATCAGCATCATCATCCTCATCATCCTCAGCATCATCCTCATCAGCATCATAATCATCAGCATCTTCATCGTCGTCGTTATCATCATCAGCATTATCACTCCACCGCCTCCTCATCATCAGCATCAGCATCAGCATCGTACCATAATCATCATCCTCCTCGTCATCATCATAATCATCATCAGCATCGTCATCATCATCATCAGTATCATCATCATCAACATCACCATCACAATCACCATCACAATCAACATCACCACACCATCACCACAATCGTCAGCATCATCATCATCAACACCATCTTCATGTTATTATTCATCATCGTCATCATCATCATCATCATCATCATCATCATCATCATCATCATCATCATCATCATCATCATCATCATCATCATCATCATCATCATCGTCCCTTCTCCTCCTCCTCCTCCTCCTCCTCCTTCTCCTCCCCCTCCTCCGCCTCGGAAGGGCGGGGGGCAGCTCCCGCGCCGCTGCAGCTGCAGGCGGCGCAGCGTACTGTGCCGAGGCCTCCAGGCGCGCATGCCAACCGCGCCGCCTGGAGAAAGAGGAAGGAGGAGGAGCAGGAGGAGGAGGAAGAGGAAGGAGGAGGAGGAGAAGGGAGGGGAAGGGGGCGGAGGAAGAGTCCCTTGTGCATTGTTGTTCCTCGAGGCTATGATTTCTTGCGTTCCTCCCTATCTCCCCTCCTTCTGCGTCTGCGGTCTTCCTCAGTACCAATTACACCTCTACTCTGCCAGCGATGACCCTTGCCAAGCTCCTAGCTTTATCACCCCCCCCCAAGGGCCGACCGGCCCTGACGGGGGGGGGGGATGGCCGCGTCCCGCGGACGCACAGACCTGTAGTGCCTCAGTGCCTCGGGAGGAAGAAGGACGAGGAGAGAGAAGGAGGGAGGAGGCAGAAAGACGAGGAGAGAGAAGGAGCGAGGAAAGAGAAAGACGAGGAAGGAAGTCGAGGAGAGAGAAGGAGGGAGGAGGAGGCCCCTGGACGTTGGAGGCAGCTCCTGGGAGGTAATGCGTGGGAACGAGTGTGAGGGCTGCTGCGCCCGACGTCGGGGCACTGAGACGGATCGAGACGGCCAGCGCCCAGGATCAAACCAGATCGCGCAATCGGGCTTGGGCCAAACTCTGTGGGACCGGCCAGGGCTGGGACAGCTTGCGACCGCGGATCTATCAGCACCGAGGCTGAACTCAACCCTCCCGGAGTTGCAACCTAGGATAAGCAGGAGGGAGCCTCAGGACAGTGCCTCGGCGTCCTGGGGCGCGCTGGGGCCCGTGGAAACCGAAGTCCACATCCTCTCCTGGATTACGGTCGGCAATGTCTGGACAGCATTCGTGGAAAGCGCGCTGTCCCTTGCAGGCGGATAGCGTGTCGCTCCGCGAGGCGGGAGGCTCGGGAAAGCTCGGGAGGTCGACGCCTGGGGGCGGGGAAGTGGATAACGTGTCGCCCGAAAGCGCGGTGGGCCAGAATCAGCGGAGCGACACCTGTCCCAAAGCTCCCGACCCTAGCTAAGCCCATTGTTGAAGGGGCCCAAGGACACACAAATAAATACACACAAGTACAATGGTTCCCCATATTTTCCCATATTTTCTAGGTTCTTGTCTCCCCACCACTTCCCATATTTTCCCATATTTTCCTGGGAATCGACGATGAATTGTGTCTGTGTGTTGTTTCCCCTCCTGAATCGTGGAGCAACCGTCCAGGCCAGGGGCCCATCCAGCACGGAGCCTGGTCCAGGGAATGGCGCTGCCTGCCGTGCCCCTTTGCCTGCCCTCGTGCCTCTCTCCCTGCCTCCTCGGCCACGCAGTCCCGCCAGGAGGATCTGATGCGGGCAGCGTGTATATCCATATCCACGGCATCTTGGACGTTCGGGCTCCCTTCCCCAGACACACGGTGCGCAGTGGATATGGACCAACATCTGGCCCCTGTGGGAGGCTAGATTTGTATGCATATCCACCGTGCCTCGGCCGCATGGCGCCGCTCCTCAGAAAGTCCAAGACGAAGTGGATGTGGATGAAAATGTGTATAGCTTGTATGTAATAGTTGTACACATATATATATATACATATATATGTATATATATATATACTAGGACCACGCGCGCTTAGCTTCTAAGCGCAGGACAAGGCATGGCCATGGCACAGCGAGCATACGTCGCGATGCAGTTTGGGGTTGGCCCCGTTGTGCGCTGGGCTGGGCCCAGCTCGTCGCCATCTCTTGGCTCCCTCGCCGCTCCTCGCGCCTTTCTCCGCACTCCTCTTCCCTTGCAGCTATTCCTCCTGGCTTCTCCCGTGCCGCTTTACATCTCTCTCCTCCCCCGTCACCCCTCTGCCCTCCCTCCTCTTTCCATCTGTGCCGCCCTGCTTTCCTCCCCCATCTTGCTCCTCTCTCCTCGATTTCCCCTGTTCCTTCATCATGGCTTCTTTCCCTCCTCGCGTTCCCCTGGCTCCTCTCCCGTCCTCCCTCCTTACCCCTCCGAGCTGTCTCTTCGCACCCGCTCGTTTCCGAACGCCTGCTCGCTCACTCCTCGTTCCCTTCCCCTACCACAGCACGAGGGCGCGAGCAGGCAGGCCGTAACCCGGGAGAAAGACGGGAGAAAGGCGCCGTACCACGCCACGGCCGCAGCGAGGCGCGTGAGCCCAGCATCCGCAAGCGAACACCCGGCCCACCCACTACACCACGCCCACAGCGAGGGACAACCCCCGAGGGGGAGGAGAGGCCGGACGGCCCAGCGGAGCGGGAGAGAGAGAGAGAGGAGCGGGGGATGGACGAGCGACGACAGATTCCCTGCACGAGCTCGACCTCTGACTCGTGACAGCCTGAGCAGGCAGACGAGGATTGCAGACGAGGGCACAGCACCTTCCGCAGGGAGGGCCGTGCCGCCCCGCTCTCGAGGAGCCGAAGATGGCGGGCGCTATACAGCGCCTGCTCCAAGATGGAAAAATACCGTTGGCGACGGCGGTGAACGTGCGTTGTGCCTGTCGTGCCTCCGGGGCAGTCCAACCCGGGCGGCACGCTGAATTCGTGCGGCCCGCGGAGACATGGAGAATGCGCGTGCTCGATACATCTGTGTATACATATGTACAGATATACACACACATTTGGCGGATTCCCGAAACCCTGAACCCAAAAATGTTGTCATCTCTTGGGGGACGCAGTGTTTGCTGCCGCCACCGTCCGCCGCCCGTTCCACCAGCTTCCGCCAGCAAATGCGGCCTCGCTTTACTTCCGCCGACCTTCCGCCGCCCTTCCGCTGCCCTCCGCCGAGGAAACGACGACAACCCCTATCGACCCTCGAAGGCAGGGCCCTTTTCTGGAAGACCTCTTACGAAATATAGGAAGTGAGAAGGGAGAGAGAGAGAGAGAGAGAGACACAGAGATAGAGAGAGAAAGAGAGAGAGAGAGAGAGAGAGAGAAAGAGGTAGAGAAAAAAGGGGAGGAAGAAAACGCAAAAACAGAAGCATGGGGAGGCG